TTGACTACAGCTATTACAGAGCTTCAGAGCTTAGTTTCATGCAAGAAAATTAAATATACTTTTTAGAAACAATGCTAAATTATCCGACTCTATTTTACTTTCGTCTAGCTCCTAAGTTTCGTTGACAACTGTATGTTTAATACAATAACTTAAGTTTAGCAATTAGTCTAAGAAGTATCATAAGCTTTAAGCTCCAACTTTGGCGCAACTAGAATCCAATGAAGATTAAAGCTCGCCCTGGTCCAATGTAAGAGCTTTCCAGTGAATTTGTGCAATTTCCGACACGTCACTAATGTAAAACATTATTTGATTAGTCAGTTTAAATGCTGGAATTTAACAGACGGTTTAATTTAACTTTCAAGCTCATTGACCTACTTACAGAGTTTTCTAGCTCAATTTTCTTATTTGAAATACTTTTGCTTTGAGAGATGTAATAATAGAATACCTATGAAATCCCAGAACTTTCCTTACATTCATGAGTTGTAGAGTTGTATAAATGATTTGAATAATTTACAACGTATAGATACCTACCTACTTTAGGTATTACAATTAAACTCTAGAATTCAATCCTCCTGTCGGTTTTTAGGGATGTATAAAAACATATTATATCTAAGGATACAAAATTATATCCAAATCTAAATATAGAAAGCTAGCACAGAACATGTACCCGTAGGTATACCCCTTGATGGGTTGAATTATACACAATCCAAAACATTTAGGTATAAAAGAGGCTCAGACCACTGTATCAAAAGAAGCGATGGAATCTGAAGTACTCAGAAGAACCAAAAAGCCTACGGGCATGAAATCAACGAAGTAAAAGATTTGTAAATAGAATAAGCCTTCTCTCAGACGCCAGGTTTAAATGGTATAAGTAGACATTACATTTTTAGAGTAACAATAATATTTACTCTGTCTACAGCCACTCTCCAAAAATAACTTTCACTACATTTATAGTCCACTTTGATTAAGGAAGGTCATTTTGAAAAGACGCTCGAAGTTCAATTGAAACTTAAAAGCATAATTAATTATTAGGTTAATGTAGAGTCAAGTGATTGAATTTTAATTTTGACTAATCTATTCATGAGAGTAGATTCATATTTCAGAGTTTAAAACTCGACTCAATCTCAGTTAGATCCTGTCCTGTGATTGGTTTAAATCAATTTAGAAGCTCATCAATGTTTTAGTTGAGATTGAGATAAGTTTTGAGCGTTTTTTTATAGTAGAGCGTGTCTTACAGAGGCAGTCTTTTGTTTTTTCTAACATTCAAGTCTGTGTCAACATTGAACAACAATCTACACAAATGTCAATAAATAAAATAAAAAACAATTCTTATAGAATAAACAAACACCTGATCCTTGTGCTCGTTAACTCGTGTCGGATATGAGCGATACTGCTATTTTATTGAATGTAACGTAATCTGACAAGTTACCAGTGACAAAGGAGTAAATGGATCCCAGCCGCAGCCCTGATGTATGGCGTAAAACGAGAGAGGTGTCTGGAAGGATTTTTACTTCATTATAAATAGGGTTGGCGATGTATTCTTTTAAAATACTATCATCATCATCATCATCATCATCATCATCATCATCATCATTTCAGCCATAGGACGTCCACTGCTGAACATAGGCCTCCCCCAATGCTTTCCATGTTGATCGATTGGTAGCGGCCTGCGTCCAGCGCCTATATTATACCTAAATCCATATTCATCATCGCCATCCTTGTAAATTTATTTTTGGGGGATATAAAATCATTTTCGTAACGTAATTTCGTTAGTGTAATAGTCTTCCCCACTCAGAGCGTGCGCTAATTTGTTAACATGGGCGGTCAGCTTCTCCTGGTATTTCAGGCTGTTTTGGGCTATTTCCTGCCGAACTGTTTTTAGGCCGAGGTCGAGGTATATGTATCTATTACTTATACAATGTGGAATGCCAAACATTATTCGCAGAGCTTTGGTCTGGAATCTCTCCAGGATATCTATATTACTGTTGCTGGCGCTCTTCAACACACCCGGCTAAAGAGAAATGACATACCGAGCCTACATGAAAGATTTACCACCTGACATCAAGAGAGTCGTGTGAAATGAATTTTCATACAAGTATGGCTCTCGAAGAAAACATAATCTGAGGAATCAACCAAAGAAGTGGCTTATTGTTGAAAAAACAGATCGCCATGAAGCAGAATCATCAAAAAAAAAAAAAAAAAAAGTAATCGGTTAAAAAAAAGTGAATGAAGTCTCTCTATAACGTAACCTCAGCTCGTATCGAGTACACTATTTAATAACACACAATTTAAACACCCAGTGTGTGTACATTCGCGAACTATAAACACAAACAGTAAGTCAGCTCCATAAACCGCTTATCGTGTCATGCCAGGCCCTACGAATGTGGAATGACGTCATAACACTCTTAAAAAGACTAATTGTCCTACATTTTGCAAGTTTATGTTTTAAAATTACATGTCTCTAGGAGTATAATACAGACTCTCTTATTGTTCTTTCAGCATAAACTTTAAAACCAAGAAAAAAAAATCAAACGCAAAATTGTTATAGGAATTTTCCAGTTTTAGTGGTTCAAGATACATACATATTTCCTTATTTGACACTTGATTACTAAACTCTTATGATGCTCTCAGTAAAAACATTAACACAAAAATCAATAGTAGGTAATCTATACCTACATGATTTTTTTTATCGAATTGAATACAATAATAAAATAGAGTATGTGTAGTGTGTAAATTACCTATTCATACTATTACACTGTAATGCATTTTATAAGTAAGTATATTTGCTATTCTCCTCATAGTTTTACCCTATAATTATGTTGGTAGTTCGAACACAAAGCCAAACTTTTTCTTTCAACAGGTTGTTTAAACCTGAAGCCTTAAATGTGAACCACGAGCGCCCTCTCTCACTAAACGTAAGAAACATTTACCATTGGTTAAAATGAACTCATTCGTAGAATCTGTGTAGAGCGCCATCTGTAGTGAAAGCTGTAAATCACATAACACCCAACGTCTCGTAGATCGTAGCGCCGTTACGTGCTACAAAGTTCGTAGCGTACTTTATTCGTAGTATAAAATAAGGTGAGAAGGTGGTTTATGAAAATTACGTAAGATGTAGGCATGTTGGCCAAGACAGTCGAGATGAGTGATTTTAAGATGAGCTCATCATGAGCCAGCTCTTTCAAATGCGCCGGACGTAAGTCGCATGAGCCAGCTCTTTCAAATGCGCCGGACGTAAGTCGTCCGTTTTCAGAACCGCACTAGGAAAATTGTAAATATGTCAACTGCGTTGGAATAAAAATGTTTATTACCATGCAAACGCACAACTTACATACTGATAAGTAGTCGGTAGGTATTTAATATTACTACTACTACGAGTAGAATTTAATGGTTTAAAAGTAGCAACCAATTCAGAAAAGCAAACAAAATCACTTTTTTATACCTTTTATTTGCTAATTACTTACTTATATACCCGTGCGAAACCGGGGCGGGCCGCTAGTTTATATCATAAAGAACATCCCGCTTGCAAGGAATGTCTCGCAAAAAACCGATCTTCGTATTTTGGAATTCGAATTTCAAGCACACACTGTGTGTTCACAGTGTTCACACGCCAGTCGCCCAGTCCAATTTTGTGAGATCCTGCATTACGGATCATGCAAAACTGGATTGCCGTGGGAAAGGACCTTTACTCAGTGAACAGTTCACTTTCTAGTTATTATAATTTACTCTATGTAAGTATAAGTAACGAGTAATAATTTAACACTAATACGAGCGAAACAAAATGTACAATGTTAGTAGAAAGTACTTTTTACGCTAGTCATAAAAATTTAATACATACAACAAAAATTAATCACTGCAAAGTGAATGCCACTTTTTTTCATATGCATCAGAGGTGGAATTGTGTACTAAGTATCCGTTCGCGATAAGTTTGCCGCTGGCGATGTGACGTCACTCGAAGGGAAGCGTCTATAAATAGTTGTATACCTCTAAAAAAAACACCCTATACATTAACATGCCCCTGACAAGTTTGTTCCAATTTTTAAGTTTATTTACCATGGCAATTTAATACTAAGGCTGAGTTGCACCACCTAACTTTAACGGTAACTATGACGATAACCGGTGTTTTTTGTATGGAATTTGACAGATTTTTGACGTTTGTCAAAGTTAAAGTAAGATGGTGCAACCCAGCCTAAGTCTTGAACAACATAAGTGAGAATATTAGGTATTTGCCATCTTATGTGAACCATAAGCTTAGGACTTATGTATTATAGTGCCGCAATAAAGTGAATTTATTAGGTGGCAAACCTCAAAATCTCCAACGTCGAGCTATTGGAACGCCGCCCTGGCACGAAATTCCGATCGACCAGCAGATCAAGCGCCGCAAGTGGAACTGGATTGGCCACACTCTCCGAAGGGACCCCGATCGCATCCCTAAGCACCCCAAGCAAACTTGGCGGCGCACTGTAGCAGACGAGGCGAAGAAAATCGGCAAAACCTGGAGCGAGATCGAGCGCGAAGCTCAAGACCGAACGCGATGGAGGACTGTTGTGGACGCCCTCTGCCCCATCTAGGGGACATAGGACCTTAAGTCAAGTAAGTCTAACCACAAATTGGGCAAAGATCGAATAAGTACTAAATAAGTCAGACTTTAGTTAATATAAGAGATCTGTTTGATAAATTAAAAAGATAAATTGGACTTTCGAGGGAGAATCTTATTTTTGGTAAGATAAACAGATGTTCAGTTTTTTTAATATTCTCTTAAGGCATGGCATTATTCTAATTATGGGCTTTGAAATTTTATTTTTATCTTTGCATTTCACTTGAATTTTTTAATTGAATATGTACGTAGATAAAACCTTCTTCTTGTCTACGACATAGGTACATACTCTCGAAAATCATGGGGTTTTCTGAGTTAAAGCTCCAAAATTAAGTAACAAAATATGAATTAATGAATAGAACTGAACTCCAATGATTATTACGGTACAAAAGTATGAACTCTAATCACTTAGTTTAAGATAAGACCATCAAAACATTAGTGGTTAAATCTACATCATCTCTACTCCATTATCTAATGCTGCCATAAATCACTTAAATCGGTGACATGATCAAACAATAAACTGGGAGCAATTCGATCCAGCGCTCATCACAACCTTTTAGAGATCCTTTGTGCGGTAAAGAGCCCTGACATAACGTGTTATCAAATAAAAGAAAGGTGTGAATTTTCACAGGCCGTCGTGAGGCCCCTCCTACTTAAGATGGCGGTATCCCCACCATCTACTTATCAACCAGTAGCGAGCCAGCATCTCGTATCGCTCGTACCTACAGCACCACCTATTTTCAAATTCAATTATCAGATGCGACCATCTCAGATCTCCGGCTACGAAGAATTAGTCGCACCATCGGATTTCGGACACAATGTCTTTCAATAAATTGTAAATGTGTACTTTAATGACGACTGCAATTTGTTAATGCAAATTGTACAATAATGGACGCTACCAACGATATATCGAGCACGTGTGAAAATGATTCTTTATCAAGAAACGACAAGTTTTGTGACTCAAAAAACCTCGGAAAAAACTACGAATGTGAATCAGAATCAGAATATGACAGTGAAAATGAAACTATTGATGTTATTTGTGAAAACAGTGGTGATTCAAAGTTTGTTGAAAGAAACAGTAATATTAACAATCCGTATCATATTTTAAATAGGGAATTTTTTGAAGCCAAAACTTTTCAGTGTCCGAAAAACTTTGTCAGTGCGCCGCACCGAAGTAGTGCTAAAGATACATTAAGTAGTGAAATTAATAATAGAAGTAAAACATTTCTAATAGATAGTATCTTAGGTAATAATAAAAATTGTAGCACAAATAGTACCAATACAACGAATACAAACGAGGAAAGTGACAATTTTGAAGAGTCCACGGATGAACACAACGGTAAGAGAACTCTCATAAGTTAACCATTCCTTTAAATAAAGGTAATTTTAATAAATAAACACATGATATTAAAATGGTTAATAAAGTAATTAACACAATAACTCTTGGAGATCATTTTTTTAATAATTAATGTAATTAATTAATTATGTCCATCATGGTTGTAATCATCCGCGCAAAAATAACTTTGCTGTATCTACTCTTTATTATCTCTATTGAAGTGACCGTGGTAGCATTAATTAATTTGATTTACTGTGTATAAAATAATGTGAATAATTAAATTAAGGAATCATTACACAAAACCTATTTTTTTAACCCCGACGCAAAAAGAGAGGGGTGTTATATGTTTTTTCCGCAGTAAACAAAACTTTATTTATGAAGGCCTTCATCACTTAAAATCTTCTGAAACAAGTATTAGGTACTCTCAGTTTATTATTTGCCAAAAAAACTCTCCTTTGTATATATTTCGTATCTGCATTTAGACATGACTCTAAAGTCTCTATTTATTGTCAACACAACGACTAAATAAGTAAAGCCGTGGTACTCCGTAAATTAAGAGAAGTCACGAAAATAAAGAGCTTTAAAAAGATACCTACATTATTATAACTAGCTATCTTTTTTCACTTTTTTGTGATCTACGGTTAAGTAGACAAATCAAGGGATCGTCTTCTATGATGTATCCGTTGCGCAGAAAATTACTGATTACTAGACTAAAATGCTGCAGGTTCCAGTATCGGTGTCGGTAAGGTAGTTAGTAAATAACAGAAGTTTTTATTAACATTTAATAAGACTACTAGGATAGTAAACGAGAACTCTTCGGTGTAGGCATATTACCAGTATTACCTACCATAAAAGTTAGGAGTTGCTTTGTCGTCTTATTAATCCATGGATATAATTGTTATCATAGATTGCAGTACAAATCAGTAACTACTCCAGAACTTTAGCATGAATGGGAGAAACGAGTAGGTGGAGATGATATATGTATACATAAGTATATCAAGATCCTTTTGAGGACGGCTCTACCATAAGATTGATGCATTCTAAGTACCTAGCTAGATCGCATTACATATTCGTATTTCTTCTTCTTAGTCTGGGTACTCTTGTCAGAGTGGTCGTGGTTGCGCTGACGAGGTACATGGTGGGGTAATTTCATCTCCGAGGGTAGCTCTCCTGGCTATGTGCTTCCATTTCTGACGGATAGAGGCGTCGCGAGTACACTTGACCATGGTGGACTCAGTGGCCTTTGTGATGGCGTCTATCCAGCGGGTTCGTATTTATTTACAGTTAATTTGTTTCTTTGTTATCAGTGACGTCGTCGACGTGCCCTGAGTTGAGCGCGCTGACGGACGCAGGGCTGCTCGCTGGGCATGCCTATGCGCAGTGGCTGGCCTCGCACCAGCCTTCGTCTACATTCTATGGTAAATAACATTATAATCACTACATAGTATAAAACAAAGTTGCTTTCCGATGTCTGTCCCTATGTATGCTTAGATCTTTAAAACTACGCAACGGATTTTGATACGGTTTTTTTTAATAGATAGAGTGATTCAAGAGGAAGGTATATTTTGCACCCGTGCGAAGCCGGGGCGGGTCGCTAGTGTTTTATAAATACAGCCCTTTAAATGTCAAGACGTCAGTCGAGTGATAAAGGTCTTTAAGCACTATTAAGAATTAATATTAGTCTCTGTCATCAAAACTCGAACATTCTAGTATTTCTGTGGTATTACCATGTTCTTAAGCAAATTCCTCGACTTTTCTTCTTCATAGGCTTTGTGTAATTTTAAAGGGCACCAAAGAAATCCTAATTATTAAAAACAGCGGAGTTTTTTTAGGAAGTTTGTTAATCGCAACAATGTATCTACCTACATATTCGTTAGTTATTTCGGATTTTGCAATTACACTACTTATCTTGGATTAGCAAAGATATTAGCAAATAGCGTTTGCATCTCCAATAGGTATTGATTACGCAATACTAACCCCGAAGGTGTTTAGATAATAGTATAACATGCGCAATTGCGTGACGCGCGCGGGTGTGAGTGTTCACACGTCTCCGCACGCGATGGTGCAAGAGCTAGAGTCCCACAATTTCACTCCAACTTAATCAGTTTTCCTAGTTTTTTTATGAAGCCTTTGCTTCGAGTCTTTGATGTAACTGTAGCAAGTGTAGTATCGACATCTTTCCCAGTCATATATTTAAAGATTTTTAAACATGTTTAAATTTTTTACGACTTTGCTTTTCACTTATCAAAGTTTTATCAAGTTGAAAAATGTGTGTAAAGTAGCTATGATAGGTACAGTTAAAAATCAAGCTGTTTGAAGTTATCTATTAGCACTCAATTATTTTAGCAGCTTTACCAACTCGCTGGTCGAGGTTATATTGATTCCAAGTACAATAAGAGAGTCTAATCCACTAGCTTATTTCATGTATTTGTAAATAATAATTGACATGCCAAATCATAAGTAGTCCATCCCAAGAGAGAAGATTTAAAAAATATTGAAATAACAGAATATTGACGATGCCTAGCCGCAAAGCTAGGCTTCCTCTTTTAATCTGTAGAGATCATTCATTTGCCACTAATTTATGACCAAGTAGGTACTGTGCCAAGTGGTCCATACCTATAAAATATTCATTAGTTAAAGTGATAAATTTTTGTACCGCTTTTTTTCTTTGTGTGTGCAAAAAAGTCTTTAAAAATTAGTCATTGTTGCATAGTCTTTTACTTCAAGAAAGCGTGAAAAAAGCTTTCGACAACATAGCATACAAAATAACATGAGACCTAAATTGGAAACAAAATCAAAACCAATAGCAAATAAAATCAATAAATTATTTCGTATCATGAAAAGCGTTTTTCCTGAAAATAGGTAAGCTTCTCCGTTAAGCTTGTTAAATAACTGTAAGGTACTAAAGTGATTTAAATTCAGTGTGAAATACCTGATAAAATATGTAGGTAATAACGGTATGATTACTAGGGGTACATTTATTACCAACAAGTAGACATTTCTCGTTGTTAAGTCAACAGCTAAGAGGCATTCGGTGGCTATAAAATTAGTGTGAGCGTGTCATCTCTGGGAAAAACTGACGAGGCGAGGTCTACTTGTCCCCAAACTTTCTTTGTCACCTAAGTAAACCCAGCATTCTTCTACTACGAGTAGAATTTTGAAGTAAGTCGTTTTTAAATACTTGCCTAAAGACTCAATAGTTTTTCAAAGAATCTCGTGCCTATAATTTTACAGCTGAAGAAAAATTTCAGCTAGCACATGAATAAACACAATAATTGACTTTAGTAACGTTTGGTATCTACCTACTCATGTGGTTACATGGTAATTACTTATCCAGATCTCGAAGAATAAACTATTTTAAGTGAATCTTGTTAAGAAAATAACGTTTTGAACACTTCCAAAATCATAATCTTGATGGCTCAGACTCAAGAGCGAAGTCATAAAAAATATTAATAGGCACGCTAACATTCGCCTTCCCCATGCCTGCATCACTTCAAAACTAACTAGCCAAATAAAACCACCAATACCAGCGTACACGCTCTAATTGTTATAGCCCACACTGCGTTACGTTTCGCGCGATCTGTCCCGCGACATTCGTTGAAACGTCGCTGGTGTCGCGGTGGTCGCGACTTCGCACCGAGGTGACAGCAAACAGCTGCTGCCGCGATAATTACCAACAAAGCTCGCTGTTTGCCAACTGCCTTTTAAGAACGCTACAACACTTCTGTGAACTGTTGAGGAATTTAATGTCCTCCGACTGGTTAAAGTTAGGACTCGGTTTGAAAAGATGCCAATTAGCAGACTTCTGACGGATGGAATTCTGACTTTGCTTTCTGCAAAGCAAATATTACGGTGTGTAAAGCATTTTTTTTACTTTGATTATAGAAACACTGGTTTTGTTTAATTTGAGAAGAGTCTATAAAACTTGAGCAGTAAACATCAGATTAAAATATTTAAGTATGGATAATTTTCAAAATCAATTAGGTATCTCAGTAAAACTTCTGCAGAAGTTTATTGATTCGTTTCAAACGGTTGAAAGTTATTTAGAGAACTTTGAAGTAGGTATCTCTGTAACTATTTATACTCGAGGATAAAAAAATCTAGTTATAACAATTCGCTTGCGCAAATACTTGACGAGCAGTTAGCGCTCGCTAGCACACACGGCCACAATGCGTGTTGACACACGGCGACAACCGGCGCGGGCGCAGGCAAACACCCTGATTGTGTTTATAGCCAGTTAACAAGCGCCCGCGACAATTCCGATTAGTGCACGAAAAAATCTTTACCACGTATTTGTTTTTAGCGAGAGCAGCTACTTTGTAAACGGGGCGTGTTTATGAGTGTGCACTGTGCGTAGGTGACGATTGTGGATTTTAAGATTCAAAAGACTATCAGAACGGTAACGGTTGAATAAATATTTTCGGATAGCACTATCTACTGCAGTAAACTAAAACTAACTCGATAACATTATTTTAGGTCTAAGTAGGTTATTTGTACAGATGTGCTCATAGTATTTAAACTAAATTTTTATTAAAATTACGTACGAGTACATAAAGCTAATATATTTCTTAATTTATCAGATGATAAAAACAACAGAAGACCGCGGCGAGTGGGTCCAGAGCGCAAACCACGGCAAGCATACAGCGCAAAGCAGCTCGAGAGATTAGAAGCAGAATTCAAGCTGGACAAATACCTGAGCGTGTCGAAAAGAATGGAACTTTCCAAAGCACTGGGTCTGACTGAGGTACAAATAAAAACGTGGTTCCAAAATCGGAGGACGAAATGGAAGAAGCAACTGACGTCACGGCTGAAGATAGCGCAGCGACAGGGCTTGTTTCCAGGGCAAATCTTTGGACACGCGCCGCAAGCGTATTCTCTTATAAACCCGTACGGATACCCACCTCTCAGTTGCGTATTTACCCCGGTCACTTTGCCGTCTTCGCCTCCGTAGGTCTATGGTAACAAGATGTAGTACGTTAATTATTGGAGTACGATCACAGTTAGAAGTCTATTCTTATAATTTTTCAAATTACCAAAAGGTAAGCTAAGTTTTCGGTTTACTCTTTAGTAGGTATCAGTTTAACAAACATAATACTCCTTATTTCTTTCTAATCACGTAATCTTGACGACTTCTAAGTGCATCAACCATAATTTTATAGTTTTTCAGGTTCAGGTTTTTATAGGTTTCAGTAATCTCATGGAAATAGGTCTTTATTCATAAATTATAAGAGAAATCAAACTAGCCAGTAGATAACATATTTTAGCCAGTATTAAGTATTAATTTAACCATCCATGACACAACATTTGTAAATATTTTATCGTTTTGTTTCAAATTTTTATTTATAATTAAAATGGTTTTTAAAATGTCTAAAATTTTAGGCCGTCTTGTCACCGGGAAGTAATATTAATTTGAATTTCGGATATAAGTGAAAAACTAACTACATGGTATCTAACTGAACTTACAAAATAATGGTAACGTTCAGTATCGGATCTGTGGCTCTTAGAACATCTTTATTTAGCTGAATAAAAATTAATTCAAAGAATCTACAGCCGGAGTGTGACTCAAAAGTTAAGCTTTCTGAAAATGTTTCATAAATAGATAGGTATCGCGTATTTAAGTGACACTAGTTAATTAATTCAGAATACGTAATGACAGTAAAGCAATGTTCAAACACATAGCAGTATGATTTCAAGTTTACTATTAGTATTTTATGTCGGTGTTAAGTATTTTAATAACTGTGCGAAAAGCACACAATGTCACTTCGTGTCCTAGTTTAGAATAATTTACCTAGGTACCTTTTGATTTTAGATATCAATACCTCAAAAATCATTGTTCCAAACGAATATTATTACTTAAAAGTGATCATTTCCTTTTTGAAAATAACATTTAGTTTTAACATTAATCGATTGCTTAGGTAAATCATAAACGTTTAAAAACCATCCTTATGTACGACGTGCAACATTTTAAAAAATATGGATCCCTAACCTGTCTCTGCATTTTCTTAGAAAATACTTTGTGGATCAACTTGAGGTTAGATGAAAATTAAGGTATTTTGGTATTAACCTCTTACTTAAAATGTGACTCAAAAAGGCGTGTTATGAAAATATATGGATATATAAAATATACGGAATACTTATACGCATGTAACTCGCAAAATATTTAAACCACTGTTTACAAATTAGTCAAAAATCAAAATTATCTTTATTTGTGTAGACTAATTAAATTAGCACTTACAAATCGTTAAATGCTCTTATGGAGCCTATACATTTCTCATTATTTGTTTGCCCTACCAGTCAAAATCAAATATAGAAATGTCCATTCACAAACTTGGTGTTAGGCATCGAACACTTACTTATTAAGTAGCTATTGTATAATTTTATTCATAGATGTTAAGATGTCTCTTGACACGTTCGGTCATCCTCGTAAAAGGGAGTGTTAACTATTTTTATGACTGCGTTGCCGTTGGTAGTGCGAAAAGTACATACATTTGAAACATACCGAGCAAAATAGCACCTATTTCAAGTAGGTACACAAAGATGCAAATATTTAACTTCATGTGCTCTAGTAAGTACTTGCACGCACCCAAATTGACACATTTTTGACTTTTGTTTATTACAGATCATGTATAAATTATTTACCTACATAGCAAGTAAGTACGAATTAGGTACTAAAATTGAATTAAAAAAATATCCACGAAAAGTTTTTTTAAGCTAGTAAAACATTGCTTGCAAAAGTCAATTTATTGTATTTATTATTTAATTGTTTAGGTGATTAATACTTATTACTTGTGTACCATTCTAAGAAGACAGCAATATTTTGTGTAGATACAAATAACGTGCAATAAAATATTACTTTACAATTTATTACGATTGTTTCATTCTTTGTATTCCCACATTAATAATTACTTTAACAAATGAAACAAACAATAGTCGTTTAATAAATGTAAGTAGAATAAGAGTATTTCTCAAAAAAAATGTACGTAACGAAACGGTAGTAACGAAATAGTAAGGCCATAAGGCTTGTTATACATTGGCGAAATATTGTGAATGCTCTAAATTTATTCAATTCGAAATATTTGTAAGTATGCACCCAAATACGGGGTAATATTAAGGGGTTAGAAATAAAATAAGGGAGTAATCATTCATACTATTTTAATAAAATTATTTTTGTTCCATCTTGTTTATCCATTTTGAGTCGTTCTCTGTAAGCTTTTTGCCTTTTGGCATTGGTTTTTGGCGGCATTCCTAAAAAAACAAAAGAAGTAATCACATAAAAACGTAATCTAAATGATTTGATTATTTTTTTCTGGTGGCACTTCTGTAAAGCAGATAGTATCCAATCCTTTTGTTATTGACGCTCTATATTTTTTGAAATAAATTAAGTAGTGAATATTACTATGCTTAGTCAGGTAATAACAGTATACACTCAGCATTATGTTGTACTTTTTCGTAACGTAACGAAATTCGTAAAAAACGTAACGAAATATTAGACAAAATGAGATCAGAAACAAGTATTTTTTTGATAAAATTTGTTACAGCAAATATAAAAGCTTACTAAATGTTCGTACCACACGTATTACAAAAAATGGTTAAATGAAGACTTACCGTTCTATATAAAATCGCTGATTTTACTGCCTGTTACGAAAAAGTAATCCCACAAAACACACACGTTTTCACTAATTTTCGCGATAGATGTCACCCCCTGGTACCCCCCCAGGATTTTTGGGGTTTCCTACCGATTGAAAGACAATCGCACCCCCCACCCCCCCGTATCATGACATAGACCGCAGATTTGCCATGCAGATGCGCCAGTGAGTACTAATCTGCGCGACTTGTGTCACCCCCTGATGCTTGGCACCCGGGGCGGAGCGCTTTAATTTTGTCAAACTGGTAATGACGTCAATTTTGGGAGAAGGGGGGGGGGTCATTAAGAAATGACGCTAGGATGATTGTAGGGGGGGGGGGTCTAAAATCTGAAAAAATCGATGACGTAATTTATGGACGGCCCCTTGTTCAGAAACCATGGGAAAGTAGAAATAAATCGTAACTAAAGAGTAAATAACGAAATAGTAAATGAGAGCGACTCATTTTGTTTTTTTGCTTTAAATTGCCAATTCATTATGACACCCCATAGAAAATCAATTTGATACAGAAACTGCGATTACTGTAGAACGATAATACAAAGAAATTTACAATAATTTAGTTACGTATCGCATTTTATGAAACAAAAACATATGAAAAAGCTAGGGTGGCAAACAGGTTTTTGTATGAAAGGTAAAAAAGGACTATTTTTAAAATATCTTAATATTTGGTTATAAGTAGGATTATAGCTATAATTCTTCGTTATATTAAAGATTAATATTCATCCTTCAAAATTGTGTGTGTGTTTTTTTTGTGTGATGATTTATAAATATAAAACTTTTGAACTGTTTCAAAGCACACTTTTTTTTCAAAATGTACATTTTTTTTTGAGAAATACTCATAAATTAGTTTGTATTACCACTTCGCGTTATCGCTGTTCTTGGCAGTGGGCGGGCGGGTAGAGAGTGTCGCATTGGGCGCCGCCCAGCCCCAGCGCTGCCGCCTTCAGGGCGCCTAACGCGCTTCCCTGCGACCATGCCACACCCGCACTGGTGACAAGCATCTTGGTTACGACCTCAGATCATAGAAAGAGAATAGATATGAAGTCGCGCGTAACTACAACGAGAACCAGTGTCCCCACATTTCCCCCACCACAGCTCCCACACACACATTCAACTGTGTAAAAACAAAGCAACTCAGAGTCTACGACAACATGTGCAACCGGCTTAAAAGTGCTGTGATTGGCCAGAAGGCGTGCCTTATGGCCAATCAATGGCCGCGTGACGTGACGCACACATTGAAAACGTTAGTGAGAGAACAAAGATAAAATGGAGTCGACAAGATATCGATACTTTAAATCGCTAGGGGCAAGGCTCGAAACTGATTTCACAAAATGCTTATGTATGAAAACCTTTTTATTATTATACGTTATTATTAACTACTATCACGCATTTACTTTTTAATTATGGCGATCTGCGTACCGCATTATGTTTATCAAAAATAATGCCTATATTAGGCTTTCAACTAGCTCTTATAGTGATTACATAGTTGACAGTTACTAATTACTTCTTACATAGTTGACAGTTACTAATTACTTCTACTGTTATTTTTTTTTTTGTAAAATCTTATAATCCCAAGTAACACATCATTTTTTTATTTAAAATTACAGAATAGAAAATTATAATTTACTTCTAATTTATCGATAATAGGAAACCGCATTAGAACACGAGCACGGCACTATGTTACGACCGGCACATGCGGCCGTACTGTGTATTTTCACACGACAGTGGATATCGAAAGAAATTAAATACATTGCGCAGTAGTTGAGCATGACATAAAGTGGTGGCTAACTAAATCGTCAATGTACAAGTGTGTTAGAATTTTTATCACCATTGATTTCGATATCATAGTAACTGTTACGGCACTGAATTCGTTCGTAAAAATGTTTAGTTTTTTTTATTTATAAGCAAAATACCAATTGATTTGCAATACTTACATGTAGTAAATGACTCCATTGTTCCTGTAGTTCTTCATTTCACTTGTTTTATTGCACGTAACGACGCATTATCCAAAATATCGGAGAACATTTCCTTAGTACGACTGAATCGCGACTAACCTAGCTACGCGGCCGATGTTCGTTTCTGGGCATATCGCGGAGACACGCGCCACGCCCCCGTTTCACATCTATTCCCTTCTATGATCTGAGGTTACGACTAAAGGTCATAGCACACTTATCAACCTGGAAAGGGATCAACACCGTATCGCCTTTCGCCGTGCCGCGTGCTATTAACCGCGAGGCGACGCGTTTACGTTACCTTACGGTGCAATAAGTGTGTGTTGCAGTATGGAGTTTCTACAAAAAATACTGACCGCCTCGCGTTGATACGGTTACGATCCGTTTCCGGGTCGATAAGTGTGCTTCGTCCTTAAAACTACTAATAAAATATATTAATGAAGAAACGAAGGAAGCCTACTCGTATAAAAGGGTTTGCATGGACACTAGTCACCATAATTCCTTGAGCTATACAGCTTAACCCATTTAGACCGATAATTATTTTTGTAATTAAAAATTGATTTTTCAGCAAAAACTTACAAAGGGGTGCCTAAAAATCATGAAAAAAATATTTAAAAAAATATTCCATAAATAGGGGGCCGTGGGGAGCCCGTACCATATAGG